GTCGGAAGGCCTCTCACATCATGGAGGGGACCAATTTGGTGTTATGTATCCTTCTAATGACCGTCGGACCGAACAGGAGACCCCGCCCCTCCGCTAAAATGACAGCAGGAAGGCACTCCGCACTAGGACAGAATGGCCCTTCAGCCCTTAACTAGGAACGATGACATGCCCGCAGTGTTCTATTCAACGGGCCCCATGCACGTAAAAAGTAAGGGGTCTCATTAACGTTGAAAAGAGGGGGCGAAATGAGTTCAGAAATAAAATGGACCATCCCACGTTTGTTTGACAACGATGGTTCCTTTACAAAATCGACTAGTGAAACGATTTACATAGAGAAGTTTTGATACTGTGCACTCGCAATCTCAGGAGCTAGAGCAGCGACTGCAGGGACTGAAGACGAATTACATAGAAAAGTTTTGATACTGTGCACTCGCAATCTCAGGAGCAAGAACAGTGACTGCAGGGACTGAAGCTCTCGTAAAACCGAACGGCGTTAGCCACAGTGACTGCAGGGACTGAAGCTCTCGTAAAACCGAACGGCGTTAGCCGCTGCAAGTAACGCCAAACGACAGACGTGCGCGCGAGAACGACGGTCGTGAAATAATGCTTCCTTGAGTCTTTCAAGATGCATTCGTACCGTTCAAAAGTCAGACTGGGACGTAAGACAGGGATTTTTTTGCAATTTTGAGGCTGTTCTTTGGACGTATCAAAAGCAACAGCAAACTAAAAATCGACGTTCTACCTTCACTCTTCCAACTCCACCAAATTTTCATCGACGCTTTGACCGCCTCTTGGTATTAGCCGCGGAGCCGGCGACGAGGGACTCATGGAGACTGCAACGCCGGGCGTCGATGTCTGTCGTTGCTATGGCTGGCGGGCTCGCGCGTCTAAAACCACGTCACTTTTTTTTCTCACGTATCGATTCTGACCAAATGGTGAACACGTCCAGGCAGTGATAGGTTGGCCATGTTGTTACAAGCTTTTGGCCCATTTCGATCTACAATCTACGTGCCCCGGGTGCTCAACATCCCTGTAGAACCCAAATAAAAAAATGCGAAGATTCCGAATTTTATTTATTTAGAAAGAGCCCGATAAGCCAGTTTGCAATGGACAGGGCTGGCGACTTACTTCATGCAGTCGTCTAACCCCTGATTTAGCCAGTTACGTCACAATTCAAACGGAATTGATCCTGCAGTAGCTTCTCGCTTTTTTGCATTTCAAGAAATAAGGCAACAATAATAATAATAATAATACAGAGAACTACGTGCTGTGATTGACAAGTGGGCCGCATTCAACGATTTGTTTCTTGTTGGGGGCTTTTTACCCACGGGGGTCCTTTCTCATTCCTGTGCTCCCCCCCCCCCCCCCCCCACTTGCCAGCTCCTGAATGCGCTCCTGGCTTGACGCGGTCATAAATTGAACGGCTGAAATGCCAAACTTTGTTGGTGGCTTTCAACATTGCATATCGTTGGCATGACAATGCCAATCAGTGGAATTGAGCAAACTAAACGCTCTATTTTTTAAACAAGAAAAATGTTTCGCCATTTCGAGTTGACACGTTTGTTTGCAAATATGTGGAAATCCCAATCATGAAGCTAGAGCATGTTTGACGATGTATTTTCCGTCCTTTTGTGCTTTCGGCCGAAATGCCATAATGGGATATATAGCACTTGCAGCATGCGTGCATAGAACACAAAGCTTTTCACCGTTTAGTAGGCGGTGCGGTTGAGCACCTCGCTGTCGGGGCCTCCTCTCCGTCATGTCACGTGAGAGATCAATGATCGTGCCGTCAGTTGCAGCTGTTACCTTGCCCGAAAACTGCTCTGGCTTCAACCGAACGCCGGCGAACGCGACAGTTATTCTAAGCCATCTGTAGTGTGTGTCTGTAGCAGGGCTGGCGTGCGGTGCAGGTGGTCCCACCCGAAGCCGTGCTGTTCGATGGTAACCTGCGCTATGTGATGGCCTCGTCTGCGAGCAGCTGTGGGCATCCCCCCCCCCTCCCCTCCCCCGAGTCGTGCTTTGTGGGAATAAGGGTTTATGATGGATGGGTATGTGGGTGTGTGAGTATATGGGCGGTGTCCCATCGTTCGACAGGCTTGAATTTTGCGACACTCATGGGCGTCAGTGTGTTGCGAGACTTCCTGACGACGTTTGCTGTCCTTGCGGCGTTCGGGTTGGCACAAAATCGACATCGTTATGCGAAGGGCGATCCAGATTTGGCAGAAGCGATTTCGCAGTCTCTTACGTTTTGGCTTGGCGGTGTTCTTTCTAATGCCGTCTCCGACTTTCGCCTGAGACAAAGGCATCCGGCACGCATGATACGTCGTTGAACCACGCAATGCGTGAAATAAAATAAAACCATCGAAAAACAAGAATCGCAAAACAAAACAACACGCAATGCAAAGATAATTTGAAACTTCAACGTGTTCAGCCACAGCCCTTGGTCATGACTTGATTAATGCGCACGGCGATATTTTGGGCGATCATCATCAACCCTGCGGCACAATATCGGGTCAGCGTCGTCCGCCCTCGAAGCCTGGCAACTGGCAAAATATCCCCGCAGTGTCACTTCTGCCGGAAAAGTACAGCCGGACCGTGCGGACATGTGAGCTCCGGTGCGGCAATTTTGATTAACCTTTCCACTTGACGCCTAGAATAGCCGCCGCTGACCTTTGCTGATGGCCACTGAGGGACCGGAGATTCAAGCTGCGCACGCTGCGACCTGCCATCAATCGGAGGGTGGCCCGCTGCGGGCCCGCTCGTGCGCTTGTGACGGGGTGCGCTCCTGGCCGGTGCTCACGTGTGCCCCAGATGATCGTTCGTGCGGAAAGCGGGCGCGGTAGCTCAGGCTCTGTGCCCGAGTTAAAAGCTAATTGCTATTTGATGGCCTCATATATCCATGTTGAGATGTCACGCAAGGTGTCGCATTACCGTGTGCCCTTTTGTTCAGCGGCGGTGCTGTAGTTTCCCGCCCTGACTTATGTGTCTTTGCATGGTGCCAGAACGGTCATCGTGGAAGGCCCGGCAGTGTTGCTATTTGGGAGGTCACTGTTTCACTGCGGCCCCAACCAACCGACCATTAGGAGACTGCGCGCTGGGCCGATGCCAGACTGCGGCGCTGGACCGATATGGGACTGTGCGGCACTGGGCCGATGTGAGACTGCGGCACATCGATGTGGGACTGCGCGGCACTGGACCGATGTGAGACTGCGGCACTGGACCGATGTGAGACTGTGCGGCACTGGGCCCATGTGAGACTGTGCGGCACTAGGCCCATGTGAGGCTGTGCGGCACTGGATCTATATGAGACTGTGCGACACTGGGCCGATGTGAGACTGCGGCACGGGGCCAATGTGAGACTGTGCGGCACTGGACTGATGTGAAACTGCGCACTGGACCGATGTGAGACTGTGTGGTATCCTGATCCGAGACTGCTTGGAACGTGACGCCAAAGAACAAACACTATGTCCGTGTTCTGTGAAAGCGCGTTTGGGTCACACCAGGTGTGGGGCAGGCGTTTTCAGTACAATGCGCGGTGGCAGAAGTGACTAACATTAACAGAGAAGTCGCTGGCGCAGGTCACGGGTGGCAATATCATGACCTTGATAGCACTTGTACCTACGCCAAATATATTGGCAACGGGACCACGAGGTGACCTATACAGTTCTTCATCGCTGGGCACCAGAGGCATCGCACGCGCCGGTTCTGTACATGCTTACTGTCATCGCTTGGGATGCTGCCTGCGGGGCGCTGATTTCGTACGCTGCGACTAAGACGTTGTAGGCATGGTTTAAGCATTCGCCGCGGAGCCTGTTTGGGAAAGCGAGCGCTTGGAAAACGAGCAGATGTCTGCCCACAGTGACGAATTTTTCAGTGAGTCGCTGGACGGAGTGCAACGCTAGCTCTCCGCGAATGGTTGTGTGCAATTATTATGTATTATTTTGCGTTGATTTAGATACGGTGAAACGTGATCATAGCGATCGGGTTATCGGAAGTCCCCCTCCCTGATGTCGGATAATCTTAGCGACGTCATGCGTCCGTAAAACCCGTTTTAAACTCCACCTAGTTGGCATGCTGGAAAACGTCTTTTGCTCAGCTGTGTTGCGTTGCTCGCTGGCTCGTTGCGTCGCCAGTGTCTTTGCCACTTCTTCGCAGCCCGTTTTGCTTTTCCGTGCAGCACCGACACACAGCTGCTCGAAATGTTAAGCGTGTTGGTCTGGTGTTATCTGGGCTCAGCGCGGTGGCAGCTACCGTCCCAGACTTTGCCTTCACCGGTCAATATCCCTGCCCAGAATGGAGTTCCTCTTGCGGCAGAGCAAAGCGCTCTCGGCTGCTGGTTAGTGGGAGAACAGTTGAGCAAACAGCCGTGTTCCATCGATCTGGCCAGCGTTTTGACTCGGAGTTGTCTTGCCAGAGACGCTTAGGCGGCGACAGTAGCCAGTGTCGAGCCATCTTCAATTCGAGGTTGAGCATGCCCACGGCTTCAAAGTTCAAGCTTCATGTTACATTTTGGGGCTTGATATCACACTCAGAGATCTTCTCCGCTGTGACGCTCGTTACGCTCTCGAGACAGGGTAGTTGTAGTAGCGAGCGGCGCAACCAGGGGCGCACGCTTCAGGCCCAGACAGCCGCGGGAGGCACAATCTGCTTCTGACCTGTCGTCATCTTCAACTCGGGGCCGGAGAAAAACGAGACGACGCCCACAATGTTCACCTGACAAATAGCCCTTGGCTGGATCTCTTCCTTTTTGCATTCTCCCGCAAATGAATGTAAGCAACGTGCTGAGCTTGCCGTCCATTCCGGTGGTGCCCCGGCGGCTGACTTACCCGGTAGCGATGGTCCCGCCGCAGGCCGCCACCCTCTCGCCCCCCCCCCCCCTCCCCTCTCCCTACCCGTGTTGAGTGCACCGACGCGTGCACTCGACCGACTCGACCGTCGCTCCGTCCGCGGCCGTGTAACCTCCCAGCATGCGACAATTACTCACGGCGTGACCCTTCCAGGAGGAGGAGGAGGAGGAGGAGGGCCGGGACCACGAGCAGCAGCCGCCAGGCGCGGCGCCGCCCCCGCCAAGCGGCCCCGCGCCGCCGCCACCACTGATGCCCTGTTCGTCATCGACAGATCCGGTGTGCAAGCTGTGCTCGACGACCTCGAATAAACGGCTGGCCTGGGCGGAGCGTTTCGCGGCTGGAGGAGAATTTTGGCGATGCGCTACGGACGGCGGCGGCCGCTCAGAACTGCTAGCCCTTCGTTGCGCTCCGGTTGGGACAATGTGTAATCGACGTGCGGCGTGACGGAACGAGAACGGCATGTGTTGAATATTTACGTACAATATAACGTGATTCAGTCGCCCATGAACCACGCTATCAAATATCTTCAATGAGCTTCGACCGTTCTGTAGGCGAATTAGTGGTTCGACTGTTATTTAGGCGTATTAGTGGAACAAGTTTGATTCGGCATCAGCCGAAAGCATCGCCTACGCGGCTCGGATCCAGACGTTTCGACGCCTTCTGACCGAGGTGAACCGCCGTAGCCATGTCGGCTCAGGACCGCGGTAGTTAACGGGTCTGCCTGGAGTGGCCTGTTCGGCTACGCTGCCCGTGATATAGCGAGCGGCGTACACTCGCGCCGGTCGCGCCACCTGGCGGCGGGTCAACTTGCGGCGCGCCGTCTCAGCTCTCGTCAATGGGACGGGCCGACCGGGACGGTCTCGATCTGCCCGGAAAAGTCGCCGCGCTACCACAGAGCGCTGACGGCCCCGACAGCGCGCGCCTGGGGCTGGGGCGATGCGCCGCTCAGCGGTCCGGTTATCGCGGCTTTGAAGAAGAAACGGCAGCGGCGGTGAAGACGAAGAGCGGTGGTGTGCGAGATGAGGTGCAGGTATCAGCGCGTCTCAACCTTGCGACATTTACGATATTCTTGCGGCACTGCGCGGCGGGAGTTCGACCAAACGTCGGTTCTGCCTGTCACTTCTAGTTTATAAAGCATTCCTACGCCTCTTGAGACGAAGGCTTGCAGCTTTGTTTGCCCAGTCTAAGCACCGCATCCTCCCGACGCCAAACAATGATTTGAAATTGGAGCAACGCCAACATTTGCTGTTTGCCATTTGATCCGCGGCCGATCTCAGTGGCGTCTGCACGGCTGTCCTGACGCCAGTGCCGCGTCTGGCTGCGCTATAGAAGCTTCCTGAGCTCAGTGGCGCCTTCACGGCTGTCCTGACACCGGTGCCGCGTTTGGCTGCGCTGTAGAGGCTACCTGAACTCAGTGGCGCCTTCACGGCTGTCCTGACACCGGTGCCGCGTCTGGCTGCGCTGCAGAGGCTGCCTGTATCTGTACAAAGCGCTACAATCCCAGTTGCAACCAAGTAGGGCGAGGCCAACGGCTAATCAATAGGCGTTACGACGGCAGTGAGAGCCTGTGCGGCGCTTTGTGCTTTCTTTGTTGGAAAATGGTAAACCGAGCGAAGGGCGTATCAGTTGGCGTTGCCTTCACCACGGCAAGTGCCGGGTACGTCCTTTGTTGTTTATATGTGGAGCCGGAGTGGCCGTCACGTCTCCGGACGTAAATCATACGATTGCCTACGAATAGGAATGTGTCGTAGCAAAAACTTATCCGCGTCCGAGCCTTGGCCACCGTGTCGTGCGCACCTTTCGAGGGCACACCCTAGTGCGCACCCGCGTACACACCTTTTGTTTGGATGCAACCCCGAATGCACACACCCGAGTGCACGAGTGCACACCCGATTGCACACACCAGAGTGCACACCTTTCGAGTGCACACACCCGAGTACACACCTTTCGAGTGCACACCCGCGTGCACACCGTTCGAGTACACAGCCACGTGCTCAAGTTTCGAAGGCACACCCGGGTGCACACCCGAGCGCACACCTTTCTAGTGCACACCTTTCGAGTGCACACCCGCGTGCACGCCGTTGGAATGCACACATTTCTAGTGCATGCCCGCGTGCACACCTTTCGCATGGCGCAGTTTCGAGTTCGGCGTTGAGCGTCTGAGTCAACAGTTCCCCGTTGTCTACTTGAGTCCAAGTGAGCTAATTTCGCATCGCGTCAATGCATTGAAGAGCGGAATTCGTTCTGGTAAAAGTGGCTGAGAGACGGCCGTTATTCAAGTACTGTGTAGGGGAACAGAACAGAGGCATTGCAGCGATTGGGTATGAGAAAAATGTTTGACCATTATGGATTGAGCCTGAGGCAGAGTTGTATATGCCACGCGATATCTTTGAAGCAGAGCCGAGATCTGAGGGAGATTAGGGTACCTATCACTGAACAACAAAGGACATCGGACACCTCAGCTTCTCCGAAACCTGTGAAGTCTGAGTACCTAACAATGTACCCTTTTATGGTGTTTGCGACACCGAACCATGCTATTCCGTCACCTCGCAGTTCGATAGTTAACCACAATGGTACCGATCTAGACCATCTTCCAGATTTTTGTCTGCAGATGCGGGTTACGATTTTTCAAAAACTTCACGAGAACCCTTCGCTGTACTGTTGCGGTCCACCATGCTTATGTTTTCTCTTCGTTAGTTACTTCATCTGATGATCAGACTAGGGCAATCTCATCAGTTTAGAACACTTTTTCGTTTACACCTTCCTGTACGGAACCATGTCCCGTGCTCCAGCCATGACGACCGTTCTAGGTCACTAGTCCTTCACATTTAGGCATGTCACATGCTATCCGAAGAAATCTAGGTATGTTGACGAAACTTAGACACGTCAGATGCTATCCGATGTCACTTCATGAGGACCGTCGTGCTGAGCTATTGTGCAAGTGACGTGCAACATGGGGGTACCCGCACTCGCGGATCGTGACAAGCTTTGTGAGAAACCACGAGCATCCCACCGCGGCGCTCACGGGTAAGAAGCGACTGCCACTTCCATGATCTGCCCGATATGGCCCTGTTTTTGGAGTCATGTACATCGTAGGATTACGTTTTGCTGTTCGTAGTACAGATCACAGAAATCAGCGGTGAGCCGGAGTCGGGGTCGATGCAGCTGTGGCGGGACTAAACGTAAGTACGTGTCCTCGGGTTCGGAATCCCCACCATACTTGGGTCCGGGTGAAGTCTTAGTCGGGAGAACTTTTGAACGCGACAGACCCGGTCAGACGTGGGGCCAGCTCATCTGAAGCGTGGTATTTGGAAACCATTTCACACGGAATGGCTTCCTTGGAGCTCAGATAAAGCACATTATCAGATTTGTTGGATCCCTTATTTGATCATGTCTTCGCTTTTGATGATTTTGAAGGGCGTTTGGCTGTTTGCGGCTCTCAATTTCGGTTCCCAGAAGGTTCGGAATCGAACGCTGCAAACAACTCTGCCACATATGTCACTTGATGAGAAATGCAGTGTTGTGCTTTCACACTCTGCTCCGAGTATCTTTGGGACGCGCCTCCCGCGTTTTTTAGCAAGCTGGTGGACAAAAGATCGACGTTAATACAACTCGTCAGCAGCTTGCACACAACTCCAACGCAGTGTTTCTCGTGGTTACGTTGTTTTCACCACCCCTGGCGATATTGTCTCGTCAGAACGTCGATAAAGTGGGAGCACGTTTGTCAGCCTTTCCTCACCTCACCGCACCATCTCCGGCTTCGCCCCATCCTTCGGCTTTGGCTCATCACCGCAGCCTACCGGCGACGCCTGCGCGCCCCAACCACCAGTCAGACACACAGAACGGCTCGGCTCCTACGTTTATTCCTGGAAGCGCGTTCTTACAATACTTTCTACTAAGCCCAGCACTGCGCCGCGTCGGTCCCTGCGCTATTGGGGCCGCGGCGCGGGTCGGGTCAGCCCGTTCGCCGGCGGCGCCCTCTCGCCGCCCGACCAGCGGCCGGCCGGCCGGTCGGCGCTGCTCTGCAGTTACAATCAATACGGTGCATCACGCAACAGCGCAATCCTCCTAAATCTGGCAATCGATGGCGCCGGGCCGGGCCGGGCCGGGCCGGCGCCGCGCGGCTCAATTTCAATGGCGACCATTACCGTGCCGGGCGGCGCCTGGCGCGCGCGCCACCGCCCTGGGCAAAAAGCGCGCAACACCGCCGGCCGCTAACTGCAATATCGCGGAGGCGCCGGCGCCGACGGGCCGCCGCCGAGATTTTGGAGCGTGCGCGCGGTCGAGCGCGACATGGCTGGTTTTTGCGGCGCCGGCCGGGGCCGGGCGCGGCAGTGGGTCCGATCGGGCGGCGTGCCGCGACAGACGAGGCGGCTATTTCTGGTGCGGTAAGCGCCGCAAACGCCGCGCGCACAACCGGGCCAAGTTCATTAGAGCTCGCCAGTGCGCCCGCCGTCGTCTGACGTCACCCGCGTACAGAAATAACTGAATTATTGTCAAATAATCAACGAGCGGCGGCAGCAGTTTATCGGGCGGGCGGGCGGCCAGCCGGCCGGCACTGCAGACCGCCGGGGTTTCAGCAGTCACCGGTCGGGCGGGGACGGTGCCGCGGCGGAGGCGCGACTGACCCGACGCCGCCGGGGCGCGCGGCCGCCGGCTCGCGGCGCTACGGCGTCTACCGTTACACAGCATGTACACAGACACAGGCGCTAACACTCTAGTATAAAACGTGTACACGCGACGGCCGCGCGGCGCCGAACGAGTATTGCTGGTCGAACTGCACATGGAGGTTAGCGCCTACTCGGACGACATTCACCACTGTACTCTACACATCCCCTAATGTACACACGCACGAATGAAGCGGAGAAGATTTGAAACATCTGGGGCGAAACCGAGCGCGGGCGGCTGAGGGACGCCCGGTCAGGACGGGCGCGCGGGCTGCGTCTCAACGGAAGGGGTCGGCACAACCTACAACAAAAAAATAGACGCAGACCACTGATATGCGGCAAAAAACACGATGACACGCCACTAGGGAAAACGGCATCACTAACGGTAAAATAGGAAGCATTGTACTACAGTATTGTTCGATAGTTGAGTATTATTTCACTACGTCTATATCAGGTACTATCAGAAAACAAGATGTACAATAATCACAATACAGACAGGAAGCGCCTATTCTCGTATGGAGTGGTTACTAGTGCAAATCAAAAACAGTGGTTTTGCGTACACTGTTTGGCACAATGTTACAGGAATTACAGCAATTAACAACAAGCTGATTACCCTACAAAATTAACTGCCTTAACGGCTCAACACATAAAAAGCCATACCTTCTACGACGCTATTTGCATACTGAAGAACGCACGAAGAAAACTCAACAAATTTGCCGTAGGTACGCAGCAACGAGCAACCCTGTAGACTGAAGAGATATACTGGGCGATTTGACCTGAATTGTCAAGACTAGAACGCGGAAACAAATACCTGCAATATACCCTGAGAGTACAAAACAAAACCAGAACGGGCGGCGGCGGCGAACAGGGTTTCCGAGACCTTTTCAAATCAGCTCCGGAGCCTACCACACAACAGTGGGTTGACTATTGTGTTATCGACGACAGTGTAGGAGGCCGGGCGACGCGCGGCGGGGCCCACCCTCCCCGGCGCCCAGGCCGACGGGGCACGGATTAGAGCCGGCCCGCCCGCCCCCGCCCCCGCCCCAATCACCGACAATCACAGAGCGAGCCAAAACAAAAGTGCTCAGGTACTAGTGCGTGTCTGGACACGCCCTTGGGGCCGAAAACGGCCGGGGACGGCACAGAGGCCGCCCCGGCCCGGCAGGTCGGCGAAGCTGCCGGTACGCTCGAGAAGCTGCCAGTCGCCCGGCGGCGCGGTCCCTGCCACCCCCGGAGGGACCGTCCGTCCACTGGAGGCGCCTAATGCCCGTCAGAGCCCGCCGCTCCTGCTGCCGCCCACCCGTCGGGCGGCCGGTCAAGGGAAACCAATTTCCACCACACAAGGACTAGTCGGTCAGCAGGCACAAAACGTCGCCAACAGCCAGCGCGCCGGCGGCGCAACCAAGGAGCCACCCAGAAGAGAGCCCCGGTCAGCCGCTACGCTTGCCCCGCCCCACCGAGCGGGCGGCGACCCAGGGTCACCGCCTGCAGCCGCCGGCGGGGCGTCCCCGGGGCCCGTCCCGCCCCCGGCCCGTGCCGCGCGCGCGCCCGGCCTCCGGTACAGTTTCACCTAAGGCACAGATTCCCTAGCGTCGACCGCACTCCAAAGCTGACTACGACTTTATATGACACGACCTGGCCACGAACAGTTGTATACTAAAATAGCGATCTACACACACGCACATTATCACTTGACCTAAACACAGCTGGCTATTGCTTTACAGTACACCATGTTCAGCGTTACTACCTCCGCTGGCGGCGCGTGACCTCCAGCCCTCAGGTCGGGGACCTATGACCCCGCGGGTCCGGCCCGGGCACCAGGGTGAGCCCTGCACGCTCTCCAGTCCCTCACCGTATCAATAAACCCTGTATGAATGACTTGCTGGCCCCGCGCGGGCGACCAACCCGAGCCAAGTATAGTGATGACGTCAGCACACCACGCTCCCGATGGTCGTAAGGCCCTAGGAATCCAACATATCCACAATGCCACATTGTGTGTAACAAAATAGGCTCAATTTGTCCATATTGCTTGCGGTCAGTGCATAGTGGCCGGTGCTGTGCGGACTTAGTCCGCGCCCCGCCCCTGTTTAGACGGCTGAGGCGCCGTATGTGCAGCTGGTGGCGCGCCGGGCCAGGCGCGCCTTCTACAAAAGAGCGGTAAAAATCGGACGGCTAACTAGTGTACGCCTCTCGGTGAGTGTGCGCCGCGCGGCGGCGTTTCTGGCGCTGTGGCCGGGCGGCGGCGATGGCGGCGCTCACTCAGAGCCCTCGCGGTCGGACGTGCCGCCCGAGCAGCTGACGTTCTCCTTGTCGCCGGCGTCGGGCTCGTCGGAGCCGTCCGAGGCGCGGCCGTCGTCCTTCTCCGGCTCCTCGCCGTCCTCGTCGGGCTCGTCGTCGGAGGCGGCCGGCTCGGCGGCGGCAGCGGCGGCGCCGGCGGCCGGCCGGCAGCGCGCGCCGCCCACGCCCATGGACAGGTCCAGTCCCTGCTCCGCCATCATCTGCAGGTAGGTATCGAGCACGGCACTGCCGGTGGAGGCGGCCGCGCCGCCGCCGCCGGCGCCGGCGGCCCCTCCGCCGCCTGCGCCGCCGCCGCCGCCGGCGCCGGCCGAGCTGACCGCCTGCGCCGCCAGCTGGTGCATCAGGTTGACGCGGTACGGCTCGTCGGCGCCGGCGGCGCCGTTCTCCTGTCCGCCGGCGCTGGCCGGCGACGGCACCGGCGAGCTGCTCATCGACTTCTCCCAGCGGCCGAGCGACTGCCGCACGACCTCGCCGCGGCCGCCGGTGCGCGCGATGAAGCGCGCCGCCAGCTCCGGGTCCCAGGGCGCCGGCATCGGCAGCAGCGGCAGGTCCCGCGTGCTGATGCCGCGGTGCTGGCGCGACATGTGCGAGTGCAGCGAGTTGCGCGACTTGGCCACCGTGCCGCACAGCACGCATCGGAAGCCGGCGCACTGCGAGTGCTTGTCCTCCATGTGGGTGCGCAGCGTGTGCGCGTTCTTGTAGATCTTGCCGCAGATGTTGCAGGGACGCGGGTCGGTGGCGCGCAGGCGGAACATGTCCATGCCGCGTCGGTAGCCTGGCGCGCGAGACACAGCCTGGTTAGGCGCGCCGGCGGCGAGCGCGCCGGCGCGCGCCTCGCGCTGGCACGCACCCAGACAAGTCACAGAGACAGGCAGCGAACGGTGTGGGAGAGCCTGGCCACGGTGAATGATTAACCCTCTGATGGCTGAAACTGACCATAGTTGATGTCGACTGCTCTAGATAAATCTTAGTACTAGATGGGTGGAATTTACTTAGCGACTGTCTCTAGGGGGATGGTAAGACGGGGTGCGTCCCTAGTCTCTATGGGAGCCGTCTCCCTTTACGCCAGGTTCCCGTGAGAACTCCCACCGCGCGGCACTTCACATTCTCCGCGACCATCTCGGGCAAGTCAGACACACGCCACAATGTCACATGGCGCTACCCTGGGGCGCAGCAGCACCCGCCCGGCGGCCGTCCGTGCGGCCCTGATCGCCTCCCAGAACACCCCGCCACAGCCCCAGCAGCACCCGCCCGGCGGCCATCAGGGCGGCCCTGATCGCCTCCCAGAACACCCCGCCACAGAACCCCGCTCTATATCGGCGTCCTCGCACGCGCAGCCGCCATTGTCGGTGATCCGATTATCCCATGCCGCCTCCCCGTCTGACCGAATCTCCCTGCCCGCCCCGGTGGTAATCCACACTTTGCGACGACCGGTAGACGTAATTCGCCGCGGCTTACGGTCCTGTGTCGGGGTAGCGCGCTTACCCGGCGCCTGCCTGCTGAGGCAGCGGCTCGGCGCTTACTCAGTACCCTTCTGTCTACAGGCAAGACCCGCTTACCCATTGCCTCGCCGCCTGCAGGCGCCTCCAGCTTACCCAGTGCCTTCCCTCTTACATTCCCGCTGACAGGCACCTTTCCGTCCATCCCAGCCCCCGCCTACCCAGTGCCTTCGCGCTTACGCAGCGTCAGTCCGCTTACCGGGCGTGGTCTGTGGGTCCGGACTGGGCCCGGTCTGCATGTGGTTGACGGTCGGCGATCCGTGCAGGGGTCCGAAGCCCGGGATGCCCAGCAGCGACCCCATGCCGCCCAGCTTGTCCATATTGGAACCGAGCTTGTCCAGGCCCGGGTACTTGTCCATGCCGGCCAGGCGCTCCAGGCCTGCGGGCAGCGCGCGAGACGACGTGGAAACGTGAGTGTGACGGCCGGACGAAGCAGGGAATTGGGCATTCACCTGGCGGGGAGCTGTCCACCGGGCGAATATCGATGTGTTTGAGGTCGTCATCTGGTGTTCGGATGTCGACAGCGCGGCGCGTCACGCTGACGGGAGGGTTAGTCGCCCGGGGCCGCCGACACCAGCGCAGACGCGTGATTACGATCGCCAGTCGGCCGCCAGTCACCGATCGTGATGCGGTCGGCACGCGGCTGAGAGCGTCCGCCCCCCCCCCCCCCCCGCATCTGTCGCCAGCACAGCGGTCACCCCGATAAAGATCGTCGGCTCGCCGACAGCTGGCGGCCTTACGCCGGTCAACATGGCCGCCGGCAGCGGCAAGCCCATTGATCGGCCAGTGCTAACCGCGGCGGCCGGCGCCGATTACGGGCCGGTCGGCGGCCGCTCGTCTGCCAGGCTTCAGGTGAGCGGCGCGCGCCGGCCCGACCCGCCGCCGCCCTCTCGGCGTCCGCGGGCGCCCTCCCGCGCGCGTCCTCGTCTGGCCTCGCAATCCAGCCTCGCCCGCCGCTGGCGGTGTGACCTATGCCCTCGTCCCGCGCCGATCCTGACTCTCTCCCGCCGACGCTGTCACCAGACCTTGTCCCGCGCTGACCCCGAGTCCCTCCTGCCGTCGCTCCCACCCGCACCGCCGTCTCCCGTATCAACCAGCGGGCGGGACGGCGTGCGCGGGTGGCCCGCGGCCGCTAACGACACGTCCGCCTCGCAGGCGGGCGCCGTTTAATTGCACGAAAACAATCGAACCAGCGGCAGCCCGCATGTTTGGTACGGACCACCACCTGCTTCAATAACACTCGGCCACTGATCAATACCGCTGCCGGCCGGTAAAAACAGCACGCAGCGCATTGCGTCCCGACATGCGAGCGGCGCTGGGCGTCGGGGATCAGCGCGCTCAACTCCGCCGCCGGCAGCCAGCCTGGGGCGCCGCTGCAACACCCATCGCCGCGGGCCTGCACGGCGCACTGCGCCCGTCTGACACGGCCGGCCCGGCGCGACCCCGCGGGAGCACCGCCGGAGGACGCGCCCGCCTGACACGGCCGGCCCGGCGCGACCCTGCGGGAGCGTCGCCGGATGACGCGCCCGTCTGACACGGCCGGTCCGGTAGGTCCGGTCCGGCCCCGCGGGAGCGCCGCCGGAAGACGCGCCGGCCTGACACGGCCGGTCCGGCGCCGCGCGAGCGTCGCCGGAGGACGCGTCGGCCTGACACGGCCGGTCCGGTAGGTCCGGTCCGGCCCCGCAAAGGCACCACCGGAGGACGCGCCGGCCTGACACGGCCGGTCCGGCCGGTCCGGCCCGCAGGACGCGCCGCCGGAGGACGCGCCCGCCTGACACGGGCCGGTCCGGCGCGGCCCGCGGCTGACGTAGCGTGCGCACATGTCACGCTAGGGACGTAGCGGTGGCGCCGGCACGCACCCGGCTGGCAAACAGGCCCTATTGTTTTCGTCTTTTCCATTTGCATGTTGGGCGACGGGTGAAGAGGGCGGGAGGGGGGGGGGGGGGGGGGCACTTGACGGCGCTGCCTCGGACAAGATGAGGTACCTGGCCAGAATTGGACACGGGTAGAGCGGACGCGGGCAGGCCGCAGCGACGGCTTTGCTTCGCACAGCATCTGCAATTGAGACTCCGAGAACCGGACACAAAGGTTTAAGCACTTAAAGACCGTTATCAGCGCTCGACTGGTCTCCGTAACGATCGATGCGAGGCGGAAGGGAAAAACCAACTACTTATACGTTTCTCTCAACAAAAAGCCAGTCTTGATCGTGATTTACTTTTGAACACAGACCAGATGCTATCATGCCTCAGTCCCAGATGTCAAACTCTTCCCCGAACAATGCGGTGCTAGCATTAAACCTCGTCAGCGTCTGAAACCCACTCGCCAGACATTGATAAGCACTTGAGGATCCGGGACTTTTAGACAGGGTCAATCCATCGGGAGGGCTTCATCGCTCGGGTGATGTCAGAGCTTTCCGTTTTAATTTTAAGTTTGCCATGCACGACAGCCGCAGCAAACGTGTTTTCAAACCAACGTATAATTCTGCTTGCGAGCTCCACGAAGGCGACCCTCCGGGGAACGCATCGGGGGAACACTAGCCGTGTACTGGCCGCGACGTACAACATGCAGCAGAGCCTCCTCAGAAGCTATATCACGGGCGGCGCAGCGACAAGGATCCTTCCCAAACACAGCCCGTCGATGTCAGACAACCCAGCTGCGGCCCAATCGCCAGCATGCCACAATACACATCAAGGCAAGGTCCGCCGTCCAGTTCAGGGAGAAACCGCACACAGCGCCGCTTGCCCTTCTGAACGCCACGTAAGCTCCCCATGACAGCTGGCGCGACACGGCAATACCTGGCGCCAAGAGCGGCGCTCCTCTGTACAGTCGCCCTCCCATCCCACACCTGCCACCCTCCCCAGCGGCGGCTCCGGCCGCCACACCCGTACACCATCGGAGCCCGTCCCCCTGCCGCCGCCGCGCGCGGACTCACCGTATTTGTCGTGGGGCGTGGCCGGCGCGCGCTCGCGCTCCTCGTGCTCGGCGCGCCGCGCCGGCTCCGGCTCGGGCTTGTGGTTGTTGTTCTCGGCGGCGCCGGCGGCGGTCAGCACCGACGTCGGGATGGCCGTGATGCTGGGCGGCAGCGGCACGCTCGGCACCGGCGTGTCTGCCGCCGGCCGCGCCCGCTTGGCGGACGGCGATGGCACCGAGTCGGCCGAGCGCCGGCCTGACGGCAGCGAGTTCGCCTGGGGGCAGGCGGCGCCGGGTCACGAGAGGTCAGGCGCAGAACGCTCGGCCACCGGCGCAGAACGACGCTCAGGCGCGGGAGGTCAGCGGTCAGACAGCGAACACGTGTCAGCGACGCCGAACGCCCGGTCAGACACGCATCACAAGCTGGGAACGACGGGTAACGTCGGCAGGGGGGCGGGGCGATCAGACAGAGAACACACCGTCCGAACCTGCCCGAACCACATGGCCACCAGCGGACGCAGCCGTTGGTCGGTGGCGGCGATCGGACGGCTAGGCGCGCAGGCATACCATGACAGACGGGAAGCAGCGGTCACCACTGGCCATCCGGCGGCGATCATGGATGACTAAAGCATGGACGCACGGGACCACAGCGATGAATACTGGGATTGTTGAGCAGGAGGAAGCCACGCCTGGATCCTGAACATAGACGGAGGTCATTTACCAACTATTTTAGCCCATTGTCCAGTTCTTTCCAACCATACATCGTTCGCCATGGCGTCCGATGAGCTACTATGACGCGGAGTCACGCAGGCTACCCGAAGTCTCTTCCTGATTGGCTCTAGCACCATTACTTTTGACATCCCAAAAAGGAACAAAGTATGTCTGCACGGCAATGTCAACGCCCAGCAAATCAGTCATGTGGCTACTAAAGAGGGGACACCTGGCAGCAGACGCAGACATCAAGACGCCCTAGCTTTCCCAGCTAAAAGTGATGCGTCGCGTCCTACGAAGCAAAGAAGCGTGCCGCGATACAGCATGCTGCGAGGTCCCGGGGCCAACAGACAGTGGATGACGACCGTACGCCGTCCAGCTAACCCACTTGTGACATCGACGCCCGCTCACGAGTCCAGGACAAAATAGCCGGCCTTGCTTCCCAGTCACCACCCGTGCCAACCGTTAAGCTTCGAGCTCACAGCGTAAGCCAAACACGACCGATAAATAGCTACCCCGCCATGACGCAATGCAAATGGCGGGATAAAACCACCCCAGTGGCCAAGTGTGCGGGGGGAAGGGAGGGGGATGGTCGCCGATCTCATGGCGTTTGGCCAGGGGCCGCCGAGGACACGGGACAGCAGCCTGCACCGTGCACCTCACCTGACATGACCTATTCATCGCCGGTGGGAACAGAACCAGGGCAGCGAGAGACTGGGGGTACTGGTCACCAGACTGGGACCGGACCAGCCGGGACTCTGGCTGGAGCCAGGCGACTGCCCGGACTACACAAGAGCCACCACTATGTCATCCAGGAATCACTACCATTTCGGTTTGTGGTCACCCCACACCAATGGCCATCCATATCCCATAACTGATGTTATTATGCTATCCAGTCAACCTGTCATGCCGCAATCCTGAAGTCACCAAATGGGTCATCGTGAGGTCACTAGTGTCCAGGAATAATCATTGGAACAGCGTTGGAAACGCATACTATGTGCGACATACACGACGGCCAGATGACGCTTGAGGGAGGGAGGGGGGGGGGGGGGGTGACAAACCCATCACTGAGTTACACAATCAGGGCGAATGGCCGCCACCTCTCGCAGCACTGGCACACCAGCCCCCGCGCCCGTGTGACGCCCGCCGCCGGGTGTAACGGGCCGCCGCGCCGCCCACCACACCGACCTCTGGCGGGGGCGCCGGCGCCAGCTGCTGGTGCTTGATGCCCGTCTCGGAGAGGCCCTTGACCTGAAGGAGCTCGGCCGTGCGCAGAAAGTCACTCAGCTGCTCCTGCGACACCTGCACCTCGCCGTTGTACATGAAGCGCAGCAGTGACTCCAGGCTGGGTGGCGTGACATTCTGCAGGATGACGATTGGGTGCTGGCACGGGTTTGACTGCGGGCACAGATGGGGGGAGGTTAGGCCAATGTGGGCAGGTGGCCGGCTGGAAGGGGTGCAGCGACGGTGCTCGGCGAAACGGTAGAGCCAGTGCCGGCTTGAGCTCTGGTGCGATGACTGCTACCTAGTTCAAATGCTGAACACTGTGCATATGATGGGTGGCGTGTGAGCATGCAGAGAGGTGACCTGTTAAGGCATGGACAAAGCACTCTTTCGATTGTGGTGTCATGTAAGCACAGTGACAGCTTTCAGTGACTGTAAATCTATGGGTTCTGTCTGTATTGCATATGGGTATCACTATTAAGCTTTCAATACTAAACTTGATCAAGTAGGACAGCCTAGCAAGGTAGGGCACAAAATACATGTGTAAATGAACAATACCCCCAGTCCGCAGACCTGCACTCACCAACAAAAACTCTAGACAATGGGAGGGATGTGCCTGCAGTGACACCTACCTTCAGCAATTTTCTGAAATAGGGGCTGCAGGCAGAGAGGACGACCTTGTGAGCCTGCAGTGAGTGACCATCAGCAGCCAGTGTAACATCCACAAACTCCTCCTGCGACTGCAGCTCTCGGAATGACGTCATCATGTTCTGGTGGTAGTCGCTCCATTTGAGGCTGTAGTGCTGCTCCTCTGTGGACTGGCCCATGTTGGATTCTGGCAGGCTGCAGAAGCCGCTCACATGTCACGCTGCCCACGCCTGCAATGCAAGACATCACCTGTCATTACAAGCTTGCCAATAACAGGCATTGGGATGCTCAGACAGTGTTTGCTGGGAATACTGATAGGACAACTCATGCTGCAGGTCCACCTGGGATAAAGAAGACAAAAGATTCTAATGCTGGTGGTGGACTATCAGGTATTTTCTAATTATATACAGGCAAGCCTTTGAAATCAGCTGCTTGTGCTTTGGAAACCCTACAAGGCTTGGATGATATGCCACCACTTCTTATTTAATGGGGCATCATAAATCAATACAAAACTGCTATACCAAAACATCTCATGCTTTGACATAAGGCATATGGTAGCTGATGAAGAAATGTAAATATAAAGCCAAGGGACTCCAGGTCAAGTTAGAACATCTGTCTATGAAAAAGCAGAAAACTATACACCTAAGGATAACAGAAGGCAACTGTGAAATTATGGCAGTTCTGTGGAGATAAAAATCAAGCTTCAGTGGGCAGGAGATACATGTGTCATGAGTGGCAATTCATGAATGGGTAACATTTTCACCACAGGAAATTCGAGCTGTCTGTCTCAACAAATATCACCATGAAACATCTTCCTTTTGTGCAGAATTGCAAGTGATAAGCAGTAAGAAGGTTCTGATACCCAACTCCTATGACAATATTTTCAGTACCTATTTGATGAACACCACAGTTCTGTACATCCCATGTGAATAACAGTCCTGTACATCTTGCTTATTAACCAAACAAGCTGGCAACACAACAGTGAATTAAACCCAATACTATGATACAGCAATGTGGTTCCACCATGTTAACTATAAACTTCAGATATTTGTTACATAATTCACAAATGAATGCAAAACTGCAGTCCCACATCAAGTTGGTGGTACCAAGGTGGGTTGGCGCAGGGTTCCACCAGGCTTCCCAGGACACATTTTAGCATGCAAGAGGCAGACATGAAAGGGAATACAAAAATCACTCCAGGCCGCAACTGCAGAAGAGGCTCATGTCACTCAAGAACATTATGCATCTCTTCCATCACACCTTGGCAACTGGAGTAGAAAAGGAAAACGGGTGTTCTGAACCGGTCCGACGTAATTGGCATTCCAAAAATACGAATAAATGCTCTAAATGATTCAGATTGGAAACTTGCCCGAATCCCCGGCCGTGCATCCTGCAATCTCATCACAATAATCACCTGACGTGCAGAGAACCAGCGAGGTTCCCGCCCCCTCCTCCTCCACCTCCTCCACGCCAGCCCCCCAGCCACGAACTGCTTCACCGGAGTCATACAAAAATGGCGTACAGCGGCAAATTCTCAGTGCCATCTAGCGTGCGAACAGTAAATCATCGAGATCCCACGGCGCAAGCCCCAGGCGCATGTCACATTAACGTTTGCCAGCTGAAAGCGCAAGCGGGAGACGGTTAACCAATAAGTGACGAGCTGGCACACATGCGCATTGGGCCGCCGGCGCTTGGCAGTGCCCCGCAGCTCCGTTGCGTCGATACTGCTCTTCTTTTCAGAAATGAAGCAGCCGGGAACAATCGGACACCGTGGTACACTAAACAGCTGAGAAATCAATAGTCACTAAATAAAATACTGCAATCACGGCGCTATCTGGGGACCCGCTGCGTCGAATGAATTATGATCGTTGGAAGGAGCTATTGAGCCAATCGGTATTGTCGCCGGTGGATCAATGCGGTGGGCGCCTGGCGCGGTCGTCGGAGAGCAAATTTCAGTGCGCATAATGACGCAGCCCGGCCGGTTCGGAAATAACGCCAACCGTGCCGGGCACGGCGTCGGCGGCGGCTCCATCGACAGCGGGGATGATGCATTCATTAGCGGATACCGGCTGCAAATGGGGCGATCGGCACACCACGATGGATTGGGTTGGCCCGGGGCGCGGCAATGATACCGCGGCTAATGGGATTTGCGCAGGATTGACCGCAGCGCGCGCCCGTCGGCTCGGCAACTCTCGGCCATGCCCCGCCCCTGCCCCCCCCCCCCCGCGCCGCCGCCGCCCGCGGGCCCGATTTCACCGTATTGAGCGGTCGTCAGACGTTCTGAGAAAGGCGTGGTTGCAAACAGGAGGGTGCGGGTTCTTCCGTGAGTGGGATGAGGCCGTCTGCACCTCTCGGACGATAGCTCAGCGCCGGGAGGCGGGCGGCGCGAGCGTATGACCGAGAGAGTGGTGGCGGACGGTGCCAGCCTCGCCGACTGCCGGCCATGCGGGTGCGGATGGAACAATAAATCTCTTGAATAGGGTGTCTGGAGGACGTGGCACCATTGAGAGCGCTGGCAATGAAGCCATATTCCCTGTCACAGTCCAAGTTTTGTCGTAGAATGATTTAGAGCCGGCTAGCTTAGATCGATAATTCTGCCGCTGGATCATCTGTGACTGCGTAAAATTGTCGTCAACCTTTTCGGGGAAATGGCGACGCCCTAAAAGACGCCGAAAAGTGTCGTTGAATCATGCCTAGTAACGGAAATAAGGTGCCCAATGCGGCGCCAAGCGGACAATGCAGTGAACAGAAATTTTGCAAGCCCGCAACGACACAGGGCCATGTGGGTATCACTGAATGAATCGCCAGCCCGTCACGTTACATGTTGACGCCTGTGGACACCGGGCACACGATAGTATCGTAACACGAGGAGATCATGCAAACGTTGCCGCCAAGTTTTCTGCGGAGAGACAATTCGGTGCAGAAATGCACGTCCAGTTATAAGGTTACACAGTACGCTGCACGAAACGGCAATTCGGGGAGACTGGATTTTGGCCGCGATTGGTTCCGCTTATGACGCGACAGCGTTTCCGCACTGCATCTGGCCACATAAGGCGGCCAGGAAGAGCCATTCGTGTCAAATTTTCGGCCGCGGTTTCACGTGTTTCCAAAGTATGGCGCATCTGCGCACGTTGAAGACTGCCGTTGAGATGCAGCCGCGCATACTTGGCCGTATCTGTGTGACACCCGCGCGTGCCGGTCTGGGGCCCTCCAATGGAATTATTTCTTCACACTCCTCACAATTAACCCAGGATCACGATCACATTTGCAGTATAATTTGGTTATGACGATGAAGTCAGGGTACGGCTGATCAAGACTAAGCTGGGTGTCCACAAACAAATTTGCTGTCATATTCACAAAAACGCGCCAGCATCAGCCCAGTTATTCAAAATATTTGATCTTTGATCTTTATTACCTGTGGCTTAGTACAAGAAATCGTGCGGGGTTACTGCATAACACCATGCGATTTCTGATCACTGCTCGTGATAATACGTCACGATTTTGGAAGCATGTGATGTGTTCCGTACAGGAAGGAGCTTTAAACAGAATGCCAAACTCAAAGAACTCCCCTAAGAAAGCTAAAAATAGGCGCGATGCGTGCATACTGAAATCCGGGCGATACCCTCACAAAAATCCTGGTTGCGCCCCTCGCTACAGGGACGCAAAATGTCCAGATCTGGACGGGAAGTGGAGTGGAGTATCCACGGACATGTGGTCGGGATCACGAGGTGTAGATGTTGTTAGTTCGGAATTCAGACGGGATAACCCGCAACAGTGTCAACCCTCCCGTAAACACCGTCGGCACCAACCAATACTTCTGTGGCAACAATACTTTTGCAATGCGGAACACTCCTGTACTGCGTTCTTGTCGTACAGGGCCATGCTTGCCAGCGTGGCATATCTTGCAGAGGCAAACCAAATGCCCCTGATTTTTTATCATTCGACTACTCGTTTTGATTGGCGCACAACATTCCAAAAGTGCAGAGAATGTCGTCGCCCCTGATGTTCAAAAGGTAGGGAAATTATGAAAAAGCACTTCAAAAAATGCAACGTTACGAATGCCTGCAACTCCCGTCACATATCTCAAGTGTCGCACAGCTCTGTAATGGGCATACAGTTAGAGATATGTTGCGCCGCGAACAGCTTCAGAAATCTAGTTTTGACCGGGTGGCCAGGTCAAAGCTGCCACCGCACTCAAAGGAGATTAGGCCCGACATCAGATTATTTCAATGCTCAGGTGGAAAAATGAAGTGCCTCCCCCAGTTGTCATGATTTCGTTTGCTTTTGCCTATTGTTCAATCTCACGCTGCAGTATCCCCCCCTCCACAAAAAAAATGTTGTCGACATAAGTCGCATCGTTTGCCCGCAAACCACATTGAAATGTTGTATCGGATTCTTCATCTCGTTCTTCTTCATTCTTCTCTCCATTGTTCATCTCGGATTATATGCTTGGGTATCACATAGCGCAGAGCACTTGCAAGCAGAGCTTGCTGCCCGCATCCTGTAGGGCTGATCCAGGATTTCGCGAGGTGTGGATTCAGAACACAGGAGTTGAACAGCAGAACACAAGCATGATGTCTTTTGCATTTCTGGTGTTGCATGATACGAGTACTGTTCTCCCTCAGTGTTCGCAGGGATCCCAACCCAAAATCTTTTCGAAGTCCAGCGACAAGACTGCACCTGATAGAAGACGATATTGTTTGTTCGTTTTCATATATCTCGGACACATTCAAACGCCTGTAAACCCAGCATGTCTCTGAGCTCCCGATCAACTTTGCGGTGCTACGAAACCTTTAATCTTGTGGGTCCCATACAGACGTAGGTGCATGCGGGACATACGCTTCACGTAGATTCCAAAGAGGTCCTGGCCCCATGCCCCCCCACCCCTTCCTTGGATCCTCGATGGTACCCTGCACCCACTAACCAAGACGGACCGGTCGCGTCGTCCGATGATTCCACCCACAGGCTTTGTGCCAGACGGGACTGCTCAGGGTTGTGTGTGGCATACAGCGCTACGACGTACCACCAGGGTCTGGCTGACCCCCTTGGGCTGGCTGCCAGCTGACCTCTTCACGCCGGTCGGGGCGAACCATGCGCCTGCCTCGGGACTCGTACTAGCGCAACTGGACTGGATCGTACCCACTACATTGTCATTTCAGTACTGTTCCCCTCAACTGCAGAGACGGAATACCGCAATAACCGCCACGAAGACGCCGCGACACTTATTGCAGTCTTCATGCAATAAGTGTCAGGCCCCAGTGAGCCGAAGAGCCATTCTACAAGAGATAAGACTCGTTTCATGAATGACGATTTGCACGTTGTTTTCCACTGGCTGTGGCAGAAAAGCCGACTTTCGGGATCCGAATTTCTTCTCGGTGTCGATAGTGTTGGAAAAAGGCGCAGCTAAGCCCAGCAAGCCTTCTTAACAGACTGCGTGTGCGGTCTGATCAGGAATGAGGCGAAGCGCGACAGCGGCCGCTCTTAGCGTCGTGGTTTACTCCTTGTCGCTCATGTGCTATCGATCTGGAGTTTCGTAGACATTGGACCCGCGTACCCACGGCCCTGAAGAGCTCGCATCCGTCCTTCATTCGGCTAAAATGATCATACAATTTGCGCATCGTTGTAATTTGCATCTGTCGTTTTTTCTCCACAGCGAGAAGTGGCAGGACACGGTCACTAAAATGCTTTGCATAAGTTTCCTCTGCGCGGAGAAAAATGAAAAGAAAAACGGTGTAATTACCTTAAAAGACCTGCACTTTATTAGCACAGTGCGATAGTCTCAATCACTACTGTAAATCCGTCTATGCCTTTTTAAACCCGCTGCTTACGATTTTTTTACATGCGGCATTTCGAATGGCGCAGCATGCACCTGCTGACTGGCATCGGGTGAGTACCATGTGTTCACAGAAATGTTCATCAAAATGTCACTTGATGGGTTCTGCAATCACGATGTTGCAATTTACTCTTCATCACTCCCTTGTGTCTACCAACCTCCGCCCATGTTTTATCGCATACGTTTGTCTTAATGTTATTGTTATTCGCAGCCATCAGTATCATATTGCACATTTCTCAGCAAAAAATTAAATTATTAATGGGTAAATGCCACCAAAGACGAAACTGTCACCTTAGGCAGTTTCGCCACCTGAAAACTACGTGAACTGATATGGCTACCGTGCAAATGAATAAGACCCTTCAGCTTGAATCTGACACCTAATCTATCAAAGAGCCGGCACGTTATCCATCGACCCGGTCCTGTCCATTCCAATCATCGCGGCACATCATGCCGTTACCATTCGTTGGCTCTCACGAAATTCGGCGCATTGGCACCGCACCGAGGGCGGTGCCAGTGACCAGCGCCTGTCTTAGCGCTATCCACCTACACTGTCTGCCATGTCCTCGACATACCGCGCTGCCTTCTCTACCTGCGCCGTCTCCCACGTCTCCGGCATACGGCGCCGCTCTCAGCG